TAATGATATCAATAACTCGAGAAAGTATTTGTTTCCGTATCATTACTTTATAATTATATTTCTTTATTGCTGTACTATAAAATCTGTCAAAGTCTTGATTATTCATTATACGAATGTAATCAAGAACATGCCTGCGTTGAGTGCTGTTTGATTTGTGTTCTGCAACCCGTTGCCTAACTCGTCTAAAATCTTTGAAGCCAGACATAAATGATGAAACGGTGATTTAAATGCAACACAATATGAGCAATATAGAGACTGAGAATTTTGGCTAAATGACAACCAATTTCTCGGTATGCTATCCTTCAAGTCCGTTTGCCTATGGTAGATTTTGTTATCAAACGGCAAATGTTCATGTGGTTGAATTGGATGTTTGTTAAAAAAATATTTTAACTCCAAACGTGGTGGATATTCAAATGCTTATGTACTATGTAAATTCGACTCAATATCTCCACCACCTAGTGCTGGTATTATTGCTGATGTACTTTGTGAATTCGTCTTAATATCTCCACCACCTCGTACTTGTATTATTGCTGATGTACTCTGTAAATTTGAATCAAGATCTTTACCACCTCGTGCTTTTATTATCTCTGATGTAATTTGTAAAATCGACGCAATATTGTCTTGACATTGTGGTTGTACTGACAAAAATGATGTGATTAATTTGCACTTTTTTGCAAAAACTTCTCTCTGTCTGTAGTTTTTCTTTGCACTTTAGTGCTCCAGATTTTGACATGATGATAGTGATGACGTGATGATAGTGATGACGTGATGATAGTGATGACGTGATGACCTAAGTTAAGAGTTTAACATTTAAAAAATAAAGCAAAAACAAGGATCGTCTCCTTTTAGAAAAAATGATAGTTAGATCTTCAAAAATAAATTTTGTCCGATCAAAATTTATCTTTTTTTTTTAGTACTTTAACTTATTAGGTGGAGAATATTATGTTTATTAAGGAAAAAAAACATGTTTTTAAGAAATAATTTAGATTGAACATTTATAACAGTTCTTACTCTTTTGTTCTATAATCATGTTTAAATTAATGAATTTCTAAATTTTATTTATAATTTTTTAACAATTTGAAGCGACAGAGCAAAAATCCTAAAAAATTTCAAATATAGATTTAATAAAAATCGAAAATTCTGTTTAAGCAAAAATGATATATACATATTTTTTTCTTTCAACACAAGCGGAAGTAGTTGTATTAAGAAATACCTTTTCATGTATTTTATCTTATCCTAAGTTAGAGATTGTCAAAGTTTAGGATTTTGCTAAAATTTCCGATTTTTTTTTTTTTTTAATTTGTTATTAAGGTGCCCCAAGATGTCCTAACGGTCTTGTCACAAATCACCGCGAAAGTGCATTTAACCAGAAATTTCACGCCTCCTTCTTTACCGTTACGCCAAATTTAATTTTTTTTAATTTAAGTTTTATTACACGAAATTTAAGTTTTAAGATTTAAGTTTTACTAATTTATCCTATTAGGGCAAATTAGTAAAACTTAAATCGGAAATCAGCGTAGTTAAACTACGCTGAGGTGCTTTGAGCTGATTAACACAAAAAGTGTTATTTATGTGTCACATAAACAGTTATGCTTATAAAAAGTTACAGAAAACTTGATTGTCCTGAAAATTAATTTATTCTCTACCTTTTAAATCTTATCATTTCAGCCAATTAGTATGATCGGTACCTTTTAAATACTTATATTGAGCGCGGAAGTTGAATAAATATTTTTGATAAGTTTTTGATTAAACAAAGATAATAAATTTTATACAAACTAAAATACCAACTACAAAAGTAGACTAGCGTCACTTCAATAAACTTGTTGATCAAGTCTGATTGATCTTAAGTGTGTTTTTGTGTTGAATTATTATTTTTTTAATTTTGGGGTGAATATTTAATTCATTTTTATAATTAATAAATTCAAGCACCGCAAATGCAATAATAGTTACAAAGTCAATTTCCTTAGAAAAACCATTGCTCATACTTGGATCAGATAATTATTAACAATTGCAAAACCATAGAAATTCCTTTATGACAATTATATGTAAAACTCTCCTTTGACATCAATTTACTATAATTACTATCAATTGATAGTAAAAGTTTTACAATAATTATTGGAAATTTTACATAAAAATAGTTTTTTCAGTAAAACTATTTTTATAAAGGAAAGTTTTACATGGAAATAGTTTTTCGGTAAAACTATTTCTTTAGAGAATTTCGCACTTAATAGAGTTGAATAGTATATACAAGAAACTTATTTAAAGGGGCCCACCCTTTTTAAATATTTTAAGGGGCCCACCGGCCATCTGGCCGGTGGATTGGTGAGCCAGTCCGCCACTGACAGTGATATATCATAGAGAATCACAAAGTTTAATATTAATTAAAAAAAAAAAAATTGCTGTTTTACGTTTTTAAGTTATCTTAGAAATGCATTCAAACTTCAGAACAATGGATAATTTTTTGCTGACAAGTATTACAAAAGCTGTTAATGATTATTATGCAGTAATAAAGAACAGTAACTTTCTTACACTATTAACAAATTATGTATTTATTATTATACAGACTACAATTAAAATAATTTTATTACTTTAAAATAACTTCGTAAAATGGAAAATAATATAAAAGAACTAAAATTTTTTCTACCACCAATATTTTATGGAAAGAAAAGAAAAATAATTTAATAAAATTTGTACATTGGTTATATGTCGTGTATTTAAGTTTATTAATATTGCTGAATGTATTTATTTCTTTTGCATTTTTCTCTGTTGATTTAGTTGTTCATACTTTTTCTATATCTTGCTATTTAATTTTGTTTAATTAATATACGTAACGTATAATATAGGGTTTAATGTTGTGCGTAGTAGTGTATGTATATATATATTTTTAAATTCAAGTTTGCCTTTATTTTCTTTTTTATATTTGCCTACGGAAATGTTTTTCTCGCACTCTATCCTTCCGAAATAATGTCATTTAAATTTGCGTTATGAGAGACACTAAACCTTTTGTAAATTATAATTAAACTTGTAATTTTTAATTTTATCGTGTAATAAATGGATAAAAAAAAAAAAAAAAAAAAAAAAAACTAGAATTAAATAGAGTTATTATATTTAAACTAAAATATTTCTATTATATAAGCAAAGAATGTTTAAATGATTAATAAAATACAATCAAATTTTGAAACTGCTCTAAACGTGATATATGGCAGCAAACAAGTTTATATAGTATTTTTACTATTCTCAACTAAGCTTATATTCATCGATAAATTTAAAATTTTATACAATAATCTCTCAGTGTTCAAAAATTATGACCTTAAAAATTTGAAACCCTCACAACAAATTAAAAGGGGTTCAAACTTTATATAGTGATAATTTTTGAACATGAAGAGATTATTGTATAAAATTTATCAAAGAATATAAGTTTAGTTAAGAATAGTAAAAAAATATATATATATTTTATCGCAATTATATATAAATATATGATATGTATAAATTTATGAATATTTGGAGTTTGTACCATGTTTTAAAATAAGATCAAATGTCAAAAAATGCTCAACAACATTTCGTAGTTTTTAAAATGAATGATGCATCATTTTTCCTTGTATTACTAACTTGAAGAACCGATGTGATATTTTAACTTATTAGATATCAATGCTTACATTACTTAAGGTGTATCGATGATTGCATTACTTAGGGTGGAAAAAAGCTTGCGATATATTTTTAGTAAAAATGAAAAACGAAAATACAAAAAAAGGTATTACAAAGAAATTGGAGATAATAAAATTTAGATTATCGGTATCAATCTATGTCGATACTGAAAGGGATGGTCTCGTATTTTGTAGTATCGCATATATACTTATGTTGATAAAATCTTTATCGATACGACGCCGATAATAAAAAGAATTGTTACAGTTAAGTTATAGGGTTATGCGGAAATATAAGTTGAATTATGCGAAAGTATAAATTAATTTACGGAGAAATTTTAATTAATTAAATAAGGAATTAAAAAAAAAAACGGAAATATAAATTAAATCAAGAAAATCAAAATAAGAAAATATGAAATAAAAAAAAACTTTGTGATTTATTAAATAAATCAAATATATGAAATAAAAAAAGTGATTTATTAAATAAACTCATTTCTTGAGTTTTGCTTCATAATTTCATAATCATATTATTTTTCATAATCATTTTATTTTCTTATTATATCATTTTATTTTATATTATTATTATTAAATTTCATAATCATTTTATTTTCTTATTTTTATTTATATTTTCGCAGAAATTAATTTATATGTCCGCATAATTGAAGTTAAATTTCCGCGTAAGTTACTTTTTGGAGGTCTTTAATAAGATGTCGTCGATACCAGACATTCCTTCGGTATATCTGTTTCGGTAACCATCGAATGAATGGGCGCGGGTACCCGTTAGACAAACCAATATTTTTTATAAAAATTATACGTATAAACAGTCAATGAAAACTTTTCATTCAATGATGTTATTTATTTGTTTTTTTACTTAGATCTAAATTTTTAAATGTTTTAATTGCACTTATTTTTTGAAAAGTATAAAATAAAAATAACATCAACTAGTTTTTACAGAGCATCTATTTGTTACAAATTGATGAACGCTGTTTTTGCATAGCATTTTAGTTATTTATACTTTTTACGCTCACGTTTAGCATTTTAGTTGTTTTTAATTTTAACGCGCACTTAAAAAAAAAAAAATAATAATTTTTTTTCCGAACAAAACGTGTTATAACTTTTTAAGAAGTGAAAACATTTTAAATATAATTTGCTCAACTGAAACTTAAATTTCTTTGAATGATTATTAAATTAATTATGTTTCCCATCTTCCAGGTTTTGAAATAGTTTTGTCCGAGAAACAAACTAATAAACGAGTTAGGAGTTTTAATTTACGTAAAGGGAAATGTTGCACAGCATGAGGAATAATAAATGGGTTTCTGAATCAGAAACTAAAATAACGGATAAAGAAATTGTAACTTTTAAAAGTTTTAACAATATCTCCACAATCTTTTTTTTACATACCAAGTTAACAATGTTAAATTACAATTAATGAATTTTAACTTTAAAAATTTTTTTTTTTTTTTAAACTTTTTTCAAAATGAAAGAAATAATTTTTTACTTCTTTCATTTTGAAGAAATGGATAACCATCATTTGATAATACTACCTGGGCAATGAACAACGGGCGGGTGCCCGGCGATAGCCTTAAATATAACCAATACCTTCGATACCAGTATCGCACGATATCAATACTGTAAGGTATAGTATCTATATCAAACGATAACCGAGACTCAATACCGGTTATCTGATGCTTAGTTGATAAAACGCATTTTATATAGTGAAGCACCAAAACATCAGATGAGGCGGAGTGATTAAAGCGCTGACAGATCAAATCTTCCAAAGTCTGGTACATGTTCTGGCCATCGACATTTGTGAGGAAGGTGGTAAAAAGCTACTTTGTAAAATGTTATTCCACAGTCCTTTTGGAGTACCTTTAAAAAAATATTATTACAATTAAACATATTTACTACTGCAAAAAAAAAAATATTTTAAAAAAAGCTGACAATGCTAAATTGTCAGCTTTTTTTGTTAAAAATGATTACAACTTGGCAATTTGGTTTGTTTTAATGTTATTTAATGCATTGATCACTTTTTCAATGTTGCTTGAATCTCTTGTATATTTTGTTGTCAGAAATCAACTTGAGTTTTCACCATTTGATCTAAGAGCGATATTTATCTTATAACAATTTTGAAAAATATTACTAACATTTTCCTTAATTCAATTAACATGCACATGTTGAATAAAAGTTTAAGAGTAGTAAAAAAATAATAAAGATTTTTTTTTTTAAATAAGATATTCATTGTTTTAAAATAAGTGTTTAAACAAAAATAAAATTCTGAGTTTGTTTTTTAAGAATTAATGTAAAATCTTATGTGGAAAAAATTCACACACCAATATTTTCATATTAAATAACATTAAAACAAACCAAAATGCCAAGTTGTCATTTTGTCATTTTTAATAAAAAAGCTGACAATTTAGCATTATTTATAATGCTGTCAACTTGAAACTATTTAAAATACAAAGTTGTAAACTTAGTATCATAAGATCTTCGATACTCAAATCATTTGGAAACAACAAGTTTTAGATGCTACCAATATAATAAGCATTTTCAAGTTTCTGACATAATTAAATCATCTATAGGGGCTGTCCATTAATTACGTCAACAATTTTTTGACAATTTTTACTTCCCCCTCCCCTTGTCAACAATTTGTCAAACTTTCAGTGACCCGCCTATAAACATTCAATAACCCCCCCCCCCCCCCTTCCAAAAAAAAAAAAAAAAAAGATGGAAAAAAAAAGTTTTAAATTTACTAGTTTACAACTGAAACAAATAAGTAGTTTAAAGTAAAATGTTTAGAAAAAAAAATGTATTCAAATTTTAACTTATGAACATATTTAAAATGAATATAATCATTTAAAATTACAAATACTTGTTCTCAACAAAAAGTGAATTAAAGTAAAAAGTATAGAAAAAAAAATTAAACTTTTAACTGATAAACATAATTCCAGTTTAAAAATACAAAAGAACCCTTTTTTTGTAAACCCTTTATTCTTTTTTTCTCTTAAGAAAAAAAAGATTAAAGGGTTCACAAAAATGTTCACACGTTTAAATTATAATCGTATTTCAAATAAATAAAATTCTCCTCACTTTAACATTATACTTAATAAAAATTTACATTGAAAGCCAATTAATTTTAATAGAGTTAAGAATAACAAAAAAAGCATTTAACAAATTGTATAAACCAGGGTTGGCATCCTTTTGAGAGAAAAGAGCCAAAAGTAAAGTTTTTAAGTTTTTAAAGAGCTACCAACATCTTTATTATAATATTATATTTAGAGGTGCGGTGTCCCAAAAAGGACTCCGGATTTATATGTCACAAAAAGATTACTTCTTCCAAGTTTTTGGTATCCAGGAGCTCAAATAATATAAAAATGCTTAAGGATTGGTAAAAAAGTTAAGACTTTTAGGTTAGAGGAACAATCTCTTTTTGAACCCAGAGTCCTTAGGTATAATGGGGGCTAGGACTTTGGGACTCCGGACTTAAAACAATATGTGTCAAATTATTAAATTTCATGAGTTTTTTTTATTTACCAGATCATAAATCAACCAACATGTTCAGAACTTTTAGACACCAGAGACCAGTAAAAAATAGAGATATAAAACCAGAGTCCTTTTGGGACTCCACATCCTTGATTATACTAATATTTGTGCATGTCAAGGTATTTCAATGTAAAGATGCAGCTAAAGAGCAGCGCTCAAAATAACGGCCAATCAACAATCAATGATTGGCTATTTTTGGGGAAATTTCAAAAAATTCAAGGGAAAATAATCTGTTTTTGTGAAAAAATTACATTTGATCGGCAAGATTTGAAAAACTAATTCTAGCGCTGAAAGAGCATCATCTTGACATCGAAAAATTACAAGAGGCTTGCGAGCTACAGGTTGCACCCCTTGTATAAATGTTTAAACAATGTAATGTAGACCATGTACTTACATGAATCTTTTGTATGTCAGGCCTTTTAATGCACAAAATGGTTTTTAAAAAGTAGAAAGATAAACTATAGGATAGGAATAAAAATACTAAAGGTTGAGCGACTATGTAACACAGGACTGCAAACGCTGCCTAATTTTCCTTTTTCTAAATAGTTAAATTTATAAAAAAAAGTAACATGTTAAAAAAAAAATAAAGTGTTGACATCAACTTTTTTTGACCTCCCCCCCCTCCCACTTGTCAAAAAAATTCAGACCCCCCCCCCCTATTTTGTTGACGCAATTAATGGACAGCCCCATATTATTAAATACTGATGAAATGGATTTTAATAGTGGTCAAAAAAAGATGTCTACAGTTTGTAGACAAGATTGCATACAAAGTATCCTATCTAGCTAAAAACTAATCTGTCTCACTTTTAAATTTTTAAAATCAATATTATTATAATGGCATATGACTATGCATATACTTATACTCTTTCCTGAAAAAAAAATACAATTACATTAAGTTAGGTTTAAAAAAAACCTTTTCACTACTTTATTTAAAAGTAAGTGCACTTTCAGGTTGCCTTAGAAATATATTTCAAAAGTGTATCAACCTGGAACTTAAAATAATGTATATTTTTTTTAATATTAATATTTATCAAGTCACTGTGTCAATTTAAAGTTAAAACTTTAAATTAACTTTTACTTTAAGTTATTGAAATTAACTCTTTATCAAAATTTTAAAAAATTTTGATAAAGAGTTAATTTCAATAACTTCAAAACTGTGAATTTTAAGTTTTTGTTGATCAAAATGTCAAGAATTAATATAAAACAAGATTGTTTGAACAAAAAAAAACCCTATAAAAATAACCTGCAAAAAAAAAAAAAAAAAAAAAAAAAAAAAAAAAAAAAAAAAAAAAAAAAAAAAAAAAAAAACCAGCCAAAAAAGCCTTTAAAGGTTAAAAAGTAAAACTTTATAGCAACAGTTTCAAAACTTAAAATGTTTTTAGAGCATAAATCACTTCAAAATGTTTTTACTCTTTAAGGGATCATTTATAAATTACACAATGCTAAATTAATCTAAAAAATAGAAATAAAAGATATAAAAATAGGAAAAAAAGGAGATCAATTGCTCTTTTGCATAGTGATTTTTATTTAAGTTAAAGCGCTATCACAATTTTTATTTTGATTCAAGTCTTTATGAAGGATCTTTTTTAATTTGCTTATTAATTAAATTTAACAATGCATAACTTATGAACAATCCCTTAGCTGTTTATTTAAGATACATCATAATTGCACAATATTTATTCCCTATAGGTTATTGTAGTGCACAGTGTTTTTGAATTGAATACCGTGTCATCTAAATGTCTACCATGTAATCTAAATTTCTAAAGATACATTATTTACTAAAGTATAGTACAAATTTCTTATATAGAGTTTAAAAAGCACCATATCTGTATTTTTGTTCATGCAATTATAAAACATGTCTAACTTAGTATTTAAATGGCATTATTCATACTTTTATATAAAAAATTATTCCCCAGTAAACTTTCAAGTATTTTAAAGGAACTTAATTTAAGTTAGAAAACTTAAATTAACATTTATAAGTAGTAAAACATGATAAATGTTCATATCAAACTTTATTATAGTTTAACTGCATACATGCATAAAGTTTAACTGTATACATGTCAAACTTTGTTAAAAATTAACTGCATACATGTCAAACTTTATTAAAGTTTAACTGCATACACATGCACCTGTTTGTTATATTTACATTATAAGTTTTATTATTTTTGCTATACATTTGCAGCCCTTGGAATTAGGGACTATAGTACCTCCTTGTTTCTATTTTTTATGGTAAAAGTTTTGTGTCAAACTTTTTTTGTCAACCTGATGCCAACATCTAATAGTTTAAAGTCTTGCTGAATTCAGAATTATAATAAATGAGGCCTTTGCCAGCCTCATTTTTTCTGGTTCGTTCCGACAACAAAACTTTATACCCAGACCCTAATGATTTAGGGACCACCTTAAATACTTGCTAAATATTAAAAAAGTCTATCCAATTATATTAACAATGTTATTGCATAGATAATATTTATACTTTAGAGTTTGATGATTTAATTTTGCCCTCAGGTCCCAAGCCAGCTCGGAACAAGCCAGCTTGGAATGGCCCAGAATGAAAGTATTTAAGAAAATCACAAGCATAAAGTAAACAAAAAAATTAATGAAATATATAACTTAAAGTTTAATTAGACATAAATATTGCTAACATGCTATGAATTAGATAAAACCTTAAGAGAGTAAACAAAAAACAGTATGTAATAGTTATAACAGTACATACTATTGTTATTAAATGAACAAATAAAAATTCAAAATTCACAAAATTAAATTGAATATAAAGACAACGATTTTAAAAGTATTACTTGACTGAATTGATGTTTATTTGATTAGTCGGAAATCCATAGTCAATTAAATCAATTGTTCTATCTTTCAAATTTGACTAGTTTTGACTTTACACTAGTCGACTTTTAGTGGACTTTTAGTCGATTTAGTTGAAGTAACAACAACTAAAAAAAAAAAAAAAATGGTTTCAATTAAACAATGACAAAGTAAAACTATTATTGACAACTTAAATTTAAAAATTTAGAAAAATATGTTATCTTCCATAATTAGTACATATGTTATCCTCCATAATTAATACATATGATATCCTCCATAATTAATACATAAACTACTAGCAAAATATTTTGATTGGTTTGTACTATTTTTCATTGCTAAACATTTTTTTTACCCATACTAATGATCACGATCCAAAAATAATTTCTATTGTATTCAAAAGTTTTATCCAAAGAGCTTTTGAATTGTGCAGCAAAGAACATATATGTAAAGCGTGCAGCTAAGAACATATAAATCATGAATTAGAGTTTATTACGAATATGTTCATTGAAAATGGTCATAATAAAAATAAAAAACAATAAGCAAAATAATCAATAAAACAACAACAATAACATCAATAAAATAGAACTTAATTATATTTCTCTACCATGGGTACCAAAAATAAGTACTCAACTAAAAAAAATATTAAAAAATGCAGGGTATACTCAAGTTTTTAAATCTCCAAAACAACTTCAGCAATTAATAACTCAAAAATACAAGCCTCGAATTCCCAACAACTCTTATCCCGGAGTCTACAAACAGGAGTGGTTCATGAGGAAAATTTCATATAGTTGAAACAAAGCTTAAAATTTAAACATGCATTTTCCAACATCAAAGACATAATTTTGAGGGAAAAAATTCAGCAGTGGTGGGGCATTTCAATGGTATTTTTAGCTAGAATAAAAACAACACAATTAAAATAGAGGCAGATTATTTTAAAGAAAAAGTGATAAAGCCTCTGGATATACAATATCACCAGTGTTCTTCAAATGAAGGTGGTTTGTATGAAGATAAAGGTGATTACGTTACATCGTCATTTTGGAAGCCTAATTTTTCTTATTTAAAATGCAAGAACACATTACATTCAAGTTTTATTATTTGTTTGTTTTATGAACAGTTTTTTGTATTACATGAATAACAAGGGTATATATAGCCCTTAGAAATATTGTATATTATATCAAAAAGAATTTTAAAAGGATAAGTTTCATACTATAAACAGTTAATTTACTTTTGCTAAAACACAACCAAAATAAATAATTTATTTTTCTTATTTTCAACCAAAAACAAAATATTTAAATATTTTCAGGGAAAATATAACCACTGTTCAATATTTTAAAATCATGTTAGTAAAAAAAAAAATGGCTAACTTGTGTTAACTAACGTTAAATATTTTTTAAATATATGACACACTAGTAGCACTTTAGTCAAAAATTAATTTTTTTTTTTAATTTAAAGTGCCCCAAGAGATCTAAAAGTCTCCTTCCTTATACTATCCAATTGTGCAAAATATACCCAGAGCTAGCTTTAACCCAGGATCTCTTGCTTTAGAAGCAATGTTTTAAAAAACAAATTTTCAAAAAAATTACTTATTTACTTTTAAATTTTTTCTTATAATTTGCAAAAAATTTAATAAAAAATAAATAAATTTAATTTACAAATTTTTAATTAATTTATTTAGAAATAAATAAAATACCAAATTAAAAATAACGTTTACATAAAATATTGAATTTTCATGAATGTCATCTAAATTCACTAACTGTTTATTGATACATATAAAATTTGAAAATTCATCATCTTCAAAATTACATATCATCACTTAGAAAGTAGCATGAAACATTTTTTATTTATCTACAAACTCTATTCTGGCTTTCATCATAAATAATTTTTTTATAGTCTTTATTAAGAAAATTTTTTTTGTCTATTTCCACCTCTGGGCTCACTTTGTACAGAAACCATCAAACCCTATATCCACTATATATTTTAGTAATGCAGTCAAAATATAAAGTTCAGGATCCAACTCAAGACCATAACTACATTTTTTAATTTAAGTTATTAATGTGGTTCAAGAAGACTGATTCATAAAGCATCATGAAATAGCATTTAAGAAGAAGTTTATACCATTTTATTAAGAGCATAATTCAAACCTCAAACCTCTTGACTCTGAGACCAGAGTTCCAACCACTTTTTTTAACCATTTCTTTTTTTTTTTAATCAATCATCCAATATAGTTACAGGAAAAAAATGTTTACAAAAAAAAAAAAAAAATCCTAAAAATGTTATTAATAAGTTAAGTTAATAATGATAAAACTAAAAACAAAAACAAAAAAAAATAAATAAAAGATTATAACTTTTAATAACAATGGTAAAAATATTTGTCAATATTGAGTCAAACAAGACCATGACACAAGAACAATGACTAAGACCATAAGACATAATAAATTTGTCTGATGTAGAAGAGAGCTTTTAATTTTTAAATTTTAAACAAAATCAAAAACTAATTTTTAATTTTTAAACAAAATCTACAAAATTTTTTTAAATAGCATGCTAACATTAACATACTTTAGGAAAATAACCTTAGCATAAAATATATTACAATGTAACAGTTCTTTGAATGTCATTATGAAGTGAATTAGGTCTTATAAACATTTTATACTTTGCAGGTTAAGTATTCTATTTCATTTATATCAAATTTGTAAAAAGTAAGATTAATAAAAATTATTTATGCATTATTTAAAAACTTAATTATTTTACTAAAATTAGTTTTCAAATTTAAAATTCTTTTATTTCTACTATTAGTGTACTATTTAGTGACCATTTATATGTATAAATATACATATTAAGTAGAAGTATGAGCTACAGTCTTGGAAAAAAGTTTAAGACCACCGTGTATAAATGCTATACTTTGGTGCCTAAAATAAGATTGAGCGTGTATAAGTTTTTATTTGGCAACCATAGCTAGTTAACACAATTTCCCAATTATTATTAAATAATCAAAAAATAATATCCCAATTATTTTTTCATTAAATTTTCAGTTTTTCGCAAGTGGTCTTAAACTTTTTTCCAAGACTGTATTTCAGACTCAATTATAAATATTAAAAAAACAAGAGTAAAGGGCTACACAAGGCTTTAAAACATCTTAAGACATTTGATTTGTCAATAAATTTGTTTTAAAATTTCATGACAAGAATTATATGTCTTAGGAATCATCTATAAATTATGTAAAACTAAATTTATTTATAAACAAAACAAAAAAGATCAAAAGTTTTCCCTCAACAACAACAACAACAACAAAAAGCAATATATTTACCAAGAATATAGATGTTTTACAATAAGCATGTTATAAAATACAAATAAAAAAAAATTATATGTATAGCCTATATTCTGGATGGTTCACTCTCATATAGCCTGGCTAAATCGAGGAGAGCGACCACGAGCAAAACAAAAACGAAAGAAAAACAAAACATAAAAAAAAACAAAAAAACAAACAAGCTAGCTAATACATTCACATAAGGTTGCTATTATTTAACATTCATATTTATATCATATCTCCTATAACTTCTATTGCCATAAATCTTTTATCACCAACGATTCATTTATTGTTTTAAATTATCTTGATTTATCAGGTAGTATTTTAATTTATTTTTGAGAGTATATTTTTTAATATTGCAAAAAGGGATTGTTTTTAATTTATTTTGAAGTTGATTCCAGTTCATTATTGCAGAGTATTTAAAGGATTGTTTACCATAGGATTTTGTATTATATGTTTGCACACTCAGTGCACCGCTACAAGAATTTCTTGTAAATCGGCTGCTAATTGCACTGCGTTGAGTAAACCATTCATCAAATATAGGAGGCAGTTTTTTATTAAGGCAGCTGTGAATAAATAAGCAATTTTCAATTTTAATTAAATCATGTACTTTTAAGATATGTAATGTGTTAAAAGATGTGGATGTATGTGAATTTTTTGGAAGAAATTCAATAATTCTGACTGCTTTTTTCTGCATGATAAATAGGCGATTAATAATACTCATATTTTGACTCCATGATAAAAGGCAATATGTGAGGTGAGAGTGAAATAAAGCATAGTAAATAGATTTTAAAGTTTTTTGTTGAATGAAATGTTTTAGCTTTGATAGAATGGCCTCACAAAGCCACAATTTAAATAAAAAATCAAAATAGCACATTTAGTTTAATGAAACTCGCTGCCTAAAAGAGCTTAAGATCTCCTACTTCTATTTTTTTAAATAAATTTAGCATAGCATAATTTATGGAAGATCTCTTATGACCAAGACATAAAAAAATCTCAAGATATCTTGAGATGAAGCATCAAATCTCAAAGCGACACCACTAATTTGAGTGGTATTATTTTGATTGATCTATATTTTTAACATTTATGACACTTTATTCTTTTTTATCTACATTTTATTTTAAAAATTTTTGCTACTTTTTTATAATTTACAAATTAAAAATTTTGATTTAGTACTTTTTTAGTTTTTTATTTTAATTCATCTTTGAAACAATTTAACAACTTTGAATTTACAATTGACATAAAATGTATTTTTAATTAGTACTAGAGCGGATTCATAAGGAGTGATGGGTATGATCTGCCCCCTTAGATATTTGTGAAAGAATTGTTTGTAAATTTAATTATTTAACATAATTAAGGCTGTTTAAAAGTGGTATGAAATTTTAATAAAACTGTGAAGTGCAAATAATTAAAATAGAACTGTTGGGATATCAATATATCACGAAACTTTTTAGTTAAATAGATTAAGACAATGTAAGGCTAATATTTTTTTAAAAAACCAACTAAAAAAATTATATAATTTGTGGACTTGCCTGCTCACATATGATTAAAGCTAAAACTTGCGTATCCTCCCCTTCCCTTACTCTACTGGATGGTCTGTATCAACCAAATCAAAAAAACCTGAAATTAGTACTAGTTTTTTTGTTTTTTTTTTCGTTTTCTCTTCTGCTTGAATAGGACACTTTTATGTACGATACATTGACTAAGGTGACATGATGACAAGACTAGGTTACTTTTCATAGAACTTTTTATAGTTTAATTGTGTTTAACTTTCTATGCTTTATCTTAAGATAAAAATTTTATTAGCAATACAATCAGTATAAATGTACATTTTCATTTATATTTGCGCAAACAAATTTATCAAAAATTTCAAATTTGTATACCAATACAAACTTTCAACTTTTGCTTTATTTGTCATTTGTTGGTTACTACTTCCTAGTTTTTGAAGAAAAAAAGTTTTAAAAAGTAAAAAAATTTCAACTGTTAACAATTATAAATGATAGTTCTATAGATTTCTATACAAAATAAACTTTAAACATCACTTACCATTTATTTAAGAAGTTGAGTTCTCAAGCATAACAAACTTTGTTGTTAATATTTTATTACAGAGGAGTGCTCTGACGTCATAAATAATATTGGTCAACAGTACTATTAAATGAACCAAAAAAAAAAAAAGTTTTTTAAAATTAGACGTGTGGCCAAATAGCCGTTAAACTTTCACGTTTTTTTATGAGGTGAAGTACTTTTTTTAATTAACATCACTGCGTGTGGAGTGCACTGCAAATTTGTCATCAATGGCGGGTAATGAAATAGTTGGTAATATCGTTAGAGAATATAGAATAGTTTTACCCATATCTGTTGAAGAATATCAGGTTGCACAACTTTATGCAGTTGCTGAAGCTAGTAAAAATGAAACTGGTGGTGGAGAAGGTATCGAAGTAATAACTAATGAACCTTTTGAATCTACAATTGAAGGTGAATGCAGTGGTAAGGTTTTTAAAGGACAATATACTCACAAAGTTATTCATCTTTCACAAAAGGTACCAAGAATCATTCGAGCGTTAGCGCCTAAAGGTAGTTTGGAAATAATTGAAAAAGCTTGGAATGCTTACCCTTATTGTAGGACCGTTTATACAAATGATTACATGGCTGATAATTTTTTTATTGTTATTGAATCACGTCACGAGCCTGGTACAGGTGAAATAGAAAATGTGCATCAGTTGTCAAAAAAAAAATTAGAAAAAAGGAATGTTGATGTTATTGATATCGTTAATGACCCTTGTCGACCTAATGACTATAAAGCTGAAGAAGATCCATCTAAAGTAAAATCTGAAAAAACTGGACGTGGTCCACTTATTGGAGCTGATTGGAGTAAAAACCAAAATCCTGTAATGTGTTGTTATAAGCTGTATGATGTAAAATTTAAATGGTTAGGGCTTCAAACACATGTTGAAAGTTTAATTATGAAATCAGTGAGAAATTTGTTGTTTAATTTCCATCGCCAGGTATTTTGTTGGATTGATAAGTGGCATGGTATGACAATTGAGGACATTCGTGTTCTTGAAGAGCAAACAAAAAAAGATCTTGACCAGATGAGACAATCTGGTGAGGTCAAAGGAACTGTCATGAAAGAAAAATAACTTGGGTTTTAATGTTTATTTTTTAAAATATAAATTTAATTATTATATTTTTTTTTTTTTTTTGTAATAGAATTCTGGCGCTTAGTTTAGCAATATGTTAATACGTGTATATTCTACATCGACTTTGTTATTCTCTCATTGTAAATTATACAACAATTTAATATAATTGAAGGAGTTGTCTTTTTCTATAAATATCAAGCGTAGTACCTTAATCTTATAATTGATTATAAAAATACTAAACTTTGAATTAATTTTGGTTTTGGTTTTAATTTGATTCCAGTTTTATATAAGTTCTTAACAAGTTATTAAAAGTTTTATTGTCCAAAATTTATATTGTCTTAAAGTCAATTTAAATATTATTGTTTATTTTGATGCAATCATTTAGTTAAAATATTTCAATTCGATAGTACTGTGTATGAAAAACTGAAGTTTGATTAGCTATTATCTAAATATAATTTAAAATATTTTTGTTTTACAAATTTTTATAGTTAAATACTCATCTAGAAGTGATGTAAATTTATTTGAGCCCTTGTAAATTTTAAGAATATAATGCGATAAAAATCCTTGTAAATTGTAATACATGTAGTTGAAATCAAAAATAATTTACATTGAAAGGTTGTTGAATAAGCATTTTGAATACTGTGGAAATATAAGAAGTGTTAAATTTTTGTTTGATTTATTTTAAAATGAGTCTTGATTTTTATTCATTTTTTATATTGATATAGGGTTTATTAGATTACATTAAAGAATGATGAAACCAATGTTTTAACTTGATATTAATGGTAATAATGAGTTAAAATATTGTATATTTACTCAGCAAGGCTTTTTTACAGTTTATTAGTGTAAAACCAGAGACTGCAGTTGTGAGAAAATTAAGTCTAGCTTTGTCGATAACTTAATATTCTAAATAGTTCAATGTCTTTTTTAGTAATTTGGTTAATTATAATCAAAACATCAAGAAATATTTAAAAAGGTAAATCTAATTAGTTCTTTTATAATCCGGTGATCTTTTATGCCGTATTATTGTTTATATATATTGTGTTGGTAAAAACCAACTATTATATTTACTAAAAGAATTTATTACTTCTTTCTAAGGTTACATGCATTTAACCAAGCTATTGTATGGAATTTTTACTACATACAATAGTTTGGTAACGTCCCTATTAACGGTTAACAGTTTTGACTTTTAATATTTTCCCAATAAAGCACAAAAATACTTCATTAAAAGACTAAAAAGGGTATTTGCATGGGTGGAAGGTCTTCAACTAAAATAACAATGCAAATTAACTAGTTTTTTTAGCAACTTCAGTGCATTCTGTTTTGGTCTGATGGTGTCGAACCTTTTAAATTTCTTTATAAATAGTAAATTATGGCCGTCCTATGAATTATAAGAGCTCTAAGTCTACGTATGCTACAAGCCTCCTCCCGGGTCAAATCAAGTAAAATATATAAGTAATTAACAATAGTTTTGAGACCTAATTTTCAAATTTGATTAATCATTGTTGCTTAATTTTCAACTTTGATTGCTCATTGCTGCTCATTTAATTTCATTGTAATTATATTTTAATTACTTAAATTCTATGCCGTCAGGAGTTAATATAAAATGTGAACTTTCTGATATATTTTTATTATAGTATCAAACATAGACAAACGTTCTTTTTATGTTTCGTTTTTAGGCTTCTCAGACAATAACGTTGCGAAAAATAATAAAAATTAAGTTAAAGTTAATACTTCAAAAACATACTACCATTTGAGTAAAAGTTATTTTGTGCGAAGATTTTATTTTTGAGAAATAGCCGATGTAAAAATATCAAAAAGTACTTTTGGCAAGTTGTTTTTATATTTATACATGAATATTAATATTTGAAGTAAATTAAGTTTTGATATATCTAACATTTTCATATACTTAATTACAGGAAAGGGTTTTTTAATCTCTTTAAAAAGTTAATTGCTTTACATGTTTTTGTAAGTTCTGCAACCTTATTAATTTAGTTTTGTGTGGGTCAGCCCAAATAATATTAGCGTAGGAGAGATGACAATCAACAAGACTGAAGTAAAGTGTTTTGTGCAATTTATAATCAAGAAAGCGCTAGATTTATATAATACACTTATAACAGAAATTATAAATATTTTGATTTAAATGAGACTAATATGAACTTTCTATGATTGGTGCTCATCAAAAATTACTCATTTAAACTTTGTATGATTTACTAGATTTATTTTATTTGTATTGATTGATAGTTTTGGCAACTTTATTTTATTGGAAAGAGGAAAACGTCACAATTTAATGATTTATTTATTTAACCAATGGTTTATCAGCTATAAACCATTGGATAAAACTTTCTAGTTCAGTGTTCATTGTTTCGAACAATATTTTTACATCGGAGTAATTGTAGAATAAATTTGTATTGTCAGCATACATAGTTGACGATATTTTATGAGAAGCATTATTCATATCGTTAATATACATTAAAAATAATAAAGGTTTCAAGATCCCTGTTAAATTACGCATACTAAATCAAGAGCTCCACACTCCTCCAGGACAACATACTGTTTTCTATTAAAAAGATAACTTTTAAGTCACTAATATATAAGGCCTTTAATGCTGTATTGCTTTAGTTTTGAAATTAAAATTCCGTGATCAACAGCATCGAATGCCTTATAGAGATCGATAAATACTCCTAATACTTGTTCACCTTTATCAAAAAACATAGATATTTTATTGGCAAGTTCAATAATAGCATGTTTAGTCAAGCAGTATATCCTAAATCTGAATTGATTTTTGTATAAAAGCGTATTTAATGTCATGTAATTACAAATTCTATTAAAAATTACTATTTCAAATATTTTTAAATAGACAAAGAGTAGTGATATGGAATGGTCGTTGCAAACAGATAAACAATCACTTTTTTAAAAAACTGGGTGAATTTTGGCTGCTTTTAACTGATCAGGAAATATACTATTCTCAATTAAAAATGCTATTAAATAAAATTATGGTTTAATTATACTATCCATAACATAAAAAGCTACATTACTGGTAATGTCGTCATATCCACATGACTTGTTGCACTTTAGTTCAAAAAGTACTTTGTTAAATTTGTGTTTATTTATTTTTTCATTATATATGCTAGTCGCGGGTTTCTCTCCCAAGTATTCATCAAACGCTGTTGACTGAACAATGTGAGATGCAAGAGAGGCGCCTACATTAACAAAATATTTGTTAAATTCTTGACATTTTTTTATTTGTTATAATTTTGTTGTTAATAATTACTTTTTGTGGTAAGCAAGAGAGTTTCTTTTTCTTTCTTCTAGTAACTTCATTTATAATAGACCAAGTTTTCTTGATATCAAACTTATCAAGAAAATGATTAATTTTTTATTCAGCTTGCAAGAATAGTACTTAATTTTAGCTTGTTTCTAGCTACTTTAAAATTTTTTATGTTTTGTACGTAATTTTGTCATTTTCTTTTTTAGATTGTAGAAGTTTTATATAAAGCTTTTGTTTTCTTTTTGATAATTTTTTCAAATTATTTGTCATCCATGGGTTTTATAAGTTATTTATTTTTTATTTCAGTGGTAATTTTGGGCAGACATTGTCATTAATATTTTGAAAAGTATTCGAAAAACTGTTAAACGCGCTATTGGGGTCTGTAAAGACCCCAAATCTTTTCAAATTGCTCTTCGTACAGCTTTTTTTAAGTTTATCGAGTGTTTTAAAGAGATTACTTTTCGTAACAATTTTTTGTTGTTGTTGTTGATCAACTCCATGCGCAGTATGATAGATAGGTTGATCAACTCCATGCGCAGTATGATAGATAGGAAAATAATCAGAGAAATCTGTAATAAAAGTATTTATTACAGATTTCTTTGATTCTTTTCATAACTAAATTCAAAATCTAAAAATTATTAGTTAAAATAATAGTAAATTATAGCAGACAGTATTTTTTTGTAATATGTATAGACTTAAAAACGGTAGGTATAAAATTCAAATAGTAAATTAAAAAAGTATACTGTGTTTACAAACTTTTTGTAACACATCCAAGCTTAAACCAAATGCAAAAAAAAATATATATATATATATGCTTCTTCTGAAAACTTATTTGTGATATAATGGTTCTAAGGCTATTATAAAAATTAATTCGCTTACAAATCTTTTTTGTTTGTTTTTTTATATTAAATTCTTCAAGTTTATAAACTTGACGAATTTAATATATAAAAAAAAAAAAACACGTATCGAGACAACTTATATTTACTTCAATCAAAAAATTATATTCATTTTTGTTAGTTTTCAAACGTCTTAAAGTTCATAATTACTTCAAAGAAGATGTGGATAGTTAAATATTTTAAAAATTTCTCTCAGAACAATATCCGTTCTTTCAGGCCATAAGTCAAAATTACAGTTCACGAGTGAGAAACGATTGTCATCCTTAGCTGTTTATTAAAAGAGACTTATTGAGTGAACTTGATCACGACGCTGCGCTGAATGTTTTTTTTATAGAAAGAAAAGGGTTTGTAATAAAATAAATATCATAAAAACTTTTCTAAAGTTTTTAATATTTATCTTATGGTGACATTTTATGGTGACTTAACATTTAATCGAATCGAAGGTTTTCGAATTAGAGAAATTGTACTGTACTTTCCTCTATAAAAAAAAGTCACTTATATTTTACGCTTTTCCCTATACAAAAGTTATCAATAGATTGTAAAATAACGAACTTTTTTTAAAAAGCAAAATGGTTTACACATCCGAGAAAATGAAGTATTAATTCACGTATTTATTTTAACACTATAAAACTCAACATCTTACATGGATTTTTTAAAACAATTGCAATACTCTAAAAACTGCAACTTTACAAATAAAAAATAATTTTCTTATTTATGCCTCATTTTATCACGTTTTTTATCAGTCAAAATAAAATGAAACAACTTAACTAAATAAATATCCATAAAATATAATTAAAATTGTTTAATAAAATATTTACAGTAAAACAAATATTTACAACGATTTATTTCATATACTAAAAGACAAATTAAAAAAAAAAAAATGGTTCCAATAAATAAACGCAATAGAAACGTTATATACAATTATAAATAATTTTATGATATGAAGTTCAATTCAATAAAAAATCTCAAAAAAAAAAATTAAACCTGCAGAATAATTAAAACTCATAACACGATGGTTTTATTATAAGATCGAACAAATTTTTCACGTAAAGAGCATTTAAAACTAAACGAAGGGCGAATCATCTGGACTAAATGGCTGTAATATGTAAAAAAAAAAAAAAGTTATTCATCGTCTGAAGCAACACCTGCTGGTTGAAACTATTTAAAACTCCATGTACACTGTATTTTTCCTCTAGTTAAACATTTACAGCCAACATCATTTAAATCTCATTTCTCTTGTTAACAAAGTTGTTGTCAAGGATGTTAACGATTGTAAACTTTCCTTGAACCGAATTCTTTCATCATCTTGAAGTGAAACTTGTGAATCTATGTATGAAATAAAAAGTCTAACTTAAAGTCTTTTTTTTTGGGAGGAAGAGGAGGGGGATAATAAAGAATAAAAACAGCCCAAGGCCGCAAGGGTATCTAAAACAACCGCTGCAAACCCAAGTTTTAAAGGCTATATGCAGTCTAATTTGAAATATTAGCTATTATTGCAAAAGTTAAGCCATGCAATAATAGTTTATATTTATCTGTTTATAATAATTAATAGTTTAATTGGATGTAGTAAACAAGTATTATATAAATTCTAATATTATATCAGTTACTATAAAACATTACTTCCAATATAAATATTATATCATTTCAATAAGTAAAATAGTTAAAATTTTCATTTAGCAAAACAGTTGTTTCAACTAATAAATAAACTGACAATATCTTTAAAAAGCACATTTGCTGGATTCATATCTTTTGATAACAGTGATTTTTTTACATGTAACTAACCTATGACTGATTTAACATGTGATAAGGTTAAATCATGTAAAATACGTAATTACCATAACTTTCAGGTTGCTGACTAAATGGGACTAACTGCTTATATTATAAAACTTGTTAAGACTAATTTTTTTGTTGATAGTATCCCAGATAGCACTAATATGTTAGCCCAACGTAAACCTTTATCATAAACCTTTATGATAAACCACTAACCAGTAAACTATTTGGTACTTGCTATACACTAAGCATTTGGTAGAAAGTTCTGAAATCATGTCTGAAAAAAAACCTTTCTTTTACTTGTCTGATAATCTGTAACTTACACTTCAAAAATATATTTTTTCAAAAGAATCTAGACTAGACATACTAGTACTTGCATCCTAAAAATATCACAAGCAGAAAAAAATAAAAATCTTTTTAAAAAGTACATTGAATTTTCCACGACTTTAAAGAAAATTTAGAAATTTCATGACTTTTTCCATGACCAAATAAAATTCCATGACATTTCCATGACCAGTGGCCACCCTGTATATTAGTTAAAAAACAAACATTGTAGATACTTTTAACTAGTTTTTTGCATATTATACTGTATAATTTTATAAACCAAGCAATATTACTAGATATTTTATAGAAAATATATATATATATATAAATATGTATAATATTTAAATATATTTTCTATAAAATATCTAGTAATATTGCTTGGTTTATAAAATTATTTATCAATAATTTATTACTAGTGAGAATACTATTTATATTTTAAAAGTATTTATATTTCTAGAAATACTTTAACACATTTAAATAAGCAGAATTCTGCTCATGATGTTCCATTGTGTAGGTTATGCAATTCTCTGTGATAATCTTTGTAAAGTTTAGATTTGTCTAGATTTTTTTTTAAATTATTATTCGAATCAGAATCTATTATTTCAGACGAGAAGTTGTTCCTGTTATTACTAGATTTTGGAAAAATTGATATGTGAAGGTATTTCTGTAAAAATGTTTTTTCAGTTTGAATTTATATTGTCACAAATATTGTCACAATTATATTGTCACAAAATTTATATGTCACATTATATTGTCACAAAAAAAAGACCTTCTTCTGATACATTGATAATTCTTCTCTTCAGATATGGGGGGCAAGATCATTCAAAGTATACAAAGATCATTGAAAATCTTCAAAACAAATCAATTAAAATAATTCATTTCTAATCTAATAGATTTGACTCTAAAATCCTCTTTCAATCTCTCAAAAATTATGAAGCTAAAAGATCTAATATTCCTATTGAATTGCACTTTTGCATCAGACAGTTTGCATAATAACTTACCAATAAGCTTCAATAGTTGAAAAAAGTCATTGCCATAATCTTAGATCAGCATCATGTAACAATGTTGTAATGTCTTTAAAGCAAACACTTATGTATAGCATTAATTGCATTAAATATCAATCATTAAAACATGGAATTATCTTCCCTCTGAAATCAAGACAATGTATCAAAAAAAGGAAGTAGAGCTCTCTTTATCAACAAATTTAAGAAATTTATCTAAGGTAATAATAATAAGTAAAGCTTCTGCTGTGTTATTTATCTCAATAATTGTTTTTTATGTTGTTTTGACCTTATCCATTATACCTGAAAAAGTCAAGTTGTTTTTGCCTCTTTCCTTAAATAGCATGCTATTGCTGATGTTTGTGTTACTGTATTGTTATTGTTCTATTTAGGAACCTGTTATTTATTATTTTTAGTATTATTGCTTTTCTTTTTTTTCTTTTTTTTATTATTATTATTATAATTTTATTATTATTATAATTTTGTTATTATTATAATTTTATTATTATTATAATTTTTAATTATTATTATTCTAATATTACCTGATATTATTATTCATGTATTAGTAATATGTTATATATTTTGTCAAATTTATAATGAATATTTGTCAGTCATCACATTTTTTCATTGTTTCAACTTATAAAGTGAAATAAATGATTGATTGATTCTGTATATTGATAATGGTTTGTAACCCAATTATCTTTATCACGGCTATGCTGAATAAGATCTCCACCTAATCTACATTCCCTTAGTGTTCTTAATTTTATAATGTTTTATAAGATTATTTTTTAAATTTTAGGTGCAAGTTTCGTTGATTTGCTAGTATCATCTCGATTTTGTCTATGTCTTGCTGTAGGTATAGTGAACATGATATGGACATAGGAATGCTGTTTAGAGCTTCTTTATTATGTTTATGTGTAAATACTTAATGTTTTTAAATTTTAGCAATGTCGTCTAATCTGTCAAAAAGTTGGATTATTTCTCATTTAGCTGTCAATTGATGAAAAGCATTCTTGGGGTAAGTTCAGTTAATCATCTTTGGAACAACAAAACACTAGTTTTTCTTGTTCCGGAATATCAAAACATAAATATTGGTTAGTTAATTTTTTTAGTCATGGTTAATAATTTATTATTTGTGCTAATTTTAATGCATAAATACCAATTTGTAATTATTATAACACCTCTCATTGTCTCTTTAGTATGGCAAGTCTTTAGACTTAACTCCAAGAAAATGTATAGAAGTAAAAACCTTACTTCTTCACTCAACACATTTTCAAATAAAGATAGCATTCATTACAAGTGTTTTGAAATTAGTATATATATATATATATATATATATATATATATATATATATATATATATATATATATATATATATATATATATATATATATATATATATACATATATATATATATATATATATATATATATATATATATATATATATATATATATATATATATATATATATATATATATATATATATATAACATCTACTAACAACATTAAAATTGTATTGAGCTTGGTTTTGAAGGCTAACTATTTAGAAGTGACTTGAATCTTTACCAATGAACATTCTAAATACTAATCTGAGCTAGACATAACAGAAAGACAAGCATCAAAGACCCTAATAATGTTTTTTGTATCAAAGATAAAAATTAGATTTACTTGAACTTATTTCGATAAATCTGTGAATCATTTTTATAAATTAGGCAATTTTTTTGTTCTGAAGTTTAAATTGTTCTCATGTTTGTTTTTTTTAGTTGATATTCATTTGCACAATCTATGTAAACAACTGATGGTGAGATTGAGCAAATCATAAAGTTGTGCCTAAGATATGCTTCAGATTGTGATGGTGGAAGGGATGCTCCAGAAAGAGGGGCTAAAAGTATGAAGCTTTCATCAACCCAGGATGAGTGGGAGAACAACCCTGATGAATACGATGCACTGGACTCTACGGTGACTTTTAAAAAAAGTTTAATACAACCCAGTTAGCACACATGCATTAGGTTAACATATGTAAATCCATCCTAAACAAAGGGTGTTTTTTCTGATGTTAATCCAAAATTGATCATTATCATTTGTTTAGTAATAATATCAAAGAAAAGAATCATACCAACGAAATCGAAAACAACTTCCACAGTTACATTAGTCCAAAATATGAAGAAACATCTCAAAAGTTTATTGTTTTTTCAATCTAAAATCAACACTGATCCAATGTGTTGGATCATTCAATGTTGATTTAATGTAAATGTAAAAGTAAAAAAATTCAACATTGATTTAATGTTACTGGATCAATGTTAATCCAATGTATATAACCCAAAGTTGATATAATGTATTCAAATCAATGTTGGTCCAAAGTGCAAAAATATATAACTTGAAAAATAAATCTTTTATGAATCTTGAAATATTAAATCACAATCAAAACAAACATGATGTCTATTGATATTGTATTTTAAGCTGGCTTGTTATGTTTTATGTTGATGGCAACATTGTATTTGTAACCAAAATGATATAAAAACAATGTTGGTCACCGATGTTGTGCCAATGCAACTTTCAACATTGTTCTATTGTTGACCAACATGTGTGCTAGCCAGGAAGCTCACACCCAACATGGCTGCAGAAAAATAATATTTAAATTGTTACTGGAATAGTAAAATTTTTTATAAAGAAGATAACTAAAAAAATAAAAAAGGATTTAAAATAAGACTTAAAAAGTTGCATTATGATATGCATATACAATATGCACTATATAAATCAGAAAAACACAATGAAGAGAAAGAATTATACACTAATTTAGGCAGAAAAAATTAGACAAATAAAAGTTTTAAGAGATCAACCAGAATAGAGGTATGGGACTTGACTAAATAATCAGTCCCACAAAAAAACTTCAGTTTTTGTAAAGAAAATAAGAGGTGTTATTTCAAATAATGACCATTAAATTATGATTTAAACTCAATAATAATGATTTTTTTATCATTATCATCTTTATGATCATCATGATCATAAACATCATCATCATCATCGTTATTGCCATTATAATCATCATGATCATAATCAACAGCATTGTCAATATAACCATCATCACAATCATGATCATCAATCATTATTATTATTATCATGCAAACAAATATACCATTATCTCCATGATCTTCCAATGTTTCCATCATGTAATCTTCCCATATTGTGAATATTTGTTGAACAAAGTCTCTATGATCTTTACAACGTGGCAAAAGCTTTCCAAGATGTTGCATTAAAGCTACATACCACTCTTGTTCTTTCTTCAACTGCACTGCAGTTAAGTTTGATCGACTACAATACTAAAAATTAAATTAAGAAAACCAAATGAATAAAAATAAGTAACTCAATAACATAAGTTAGTACTAAAAACTTTGAATTTTTTTTCTTGACTCTTTTTTCAAAACTATTAAAAAGCAAACCATGACATATAAGAACGCTTTATAAAAAAAACAAAAATAATGAAAATAAAAAAGAGGAGGGGACAAAACTACATATATACTACATAATAAGCACTTTGCCACTGCACCATACTACTATCATTTGGATATTGAAAAAAAAACAACCTTTTTTGAATACATTAATAACATGTGAATGAAATAATTCAAATTTAATCCAAGAGTAAAACTTCTTTGCCTTTTTTTTTTTTCCTTTTTGCATTTGAAATTCATGAATTTAATAAACAAAAAATTAAAGTTCAGCCTTTAGTGTAAATATGTATAGTAAAATAATTATATAACATTTTTATTAACACAGTTTTAGCCAGCCTTAAAGCACCTCATTATACACAGTATTCCTAACCGCTTATAAAACTTTAGTTTACAATTTAAAAGTAACAACAAATATAAAAGAAAAAAGGTTAAACATAAACTTACACATAGTTGCACACAGTTATACATTAAAATTTAAAACTTTTTATCATTTCAAAGTTCTGATAAATTTTATGCTAGGTGCAATTTATGTATGTACATTGACAATATTTCGAACTATTTTTTTTTTAAAAGCACATTGAAAAATTTATTTGGCTATGTACAAATATTTTTATGCGTGATTATTTAAGTGTTTTTATCTGAATTTCAAAACTTCAAAAAATTTGTCTTATTTCAGAAGTCAGACAAAATATTTTCTGGTATGTACAGTAAACTTTGTGTACTGCTGAGAGCTAGACAAAATGTTTTTAGAAATCAATTTGTTTAATACTCTCAGAATGTTCTTCTCAATCAAATATATAAACATCATTTGTTTAACTGGTAAATTTTATAGTTAAAAAACTCTTTACTACATTGACTTTCAGTTCATCATTAGTACGCAACTTCCAGAAAACCAGAAAAAATATTGCATAAAAAACCCACAGATGATTGGAAAATGATAAGCGTAGCCTTGCATCCCTTTTTGAGTAACTCGTTTGCTCATTATAAAGAGTTGAACCCATGCTTATAACTTTATACCAACCATTTGTATTAAAGTACACTTGAAAACTTCACATAACATAATGTTTGTACATAAACAAATGAATTTCACTGTTATGATTAATTCCTTGCTAGTATGTCTTACTTTGGTGTCACCCCTTTAGATGGTGTCATGTATTATTTACATGCAACACTTTATCCTTACACCCCCTCATCAAATGACATCAACTTTACTTAGATTAAAAAACAATATAAATTTCTTACATAACCAAAATAATATTTTAAAAAAGAACTCTATCTATTTTTCATTCCTTATCAATTACTTAAGTGCTTACCAAAATATTCTTTCAATTTGCTATCAATAGAATTTTCCTTGCAATACCAAGGAAAGAATAAACTTGACCATAACACCCACTATGTAACAGTAGCGCAATACCAAAGCATCTCTCTCTCTCTCTCTCTCTCTCTCTCTATATATATATATATATATATATATATATATATATATATATATATATATATATATATATATATATATATATATATATATATATATATATATATATATATATATATATATATATATATATATATATATATATATATATATATATATATATATATATAGTGTGTGTGTGTATATATATATACATGTGTGTGTGTGTATATATATATATATAAATATATATATATATATATATATATATATATATATATATATATATATATATATATATATATATATATATATATATATATATATATTTATATATATATGTGTGTGTGTGTGTATATATATACATGTGTGTGTGTGTGTGTGTGTGTGTGTGTGTGTGTGGGTGTGTGTGTGTATATATATATATATATATATATATATATATATATTTATGTATACATTCTAAAAACAATCCATTAGAAAAAGCAACGTATTGCTTATTTCCATTAAATTAACAAAGTTATTTGTCATTAAATATTACAAAATTAATGAAATAAATATTCAAACCTGTTGAAAAACCACTGAACTTTTTATTAAAAAAGGTTTTCATAAAAAATTATGAAGTGCTTCCTCTGTAGATTATATTTTTAAATTTTATTTGTTTGATTTAGATTATGATTAAGTTTTGAAAGACGTTTTTCTTAAACCACATTTATTTCGTAGATGAAAGGTTTGTTGCAGTAAATTTAATTTGTCATTTTTTAAATAGCTTCACATTTCAACTAAATGGAAAGCTATTTAAAAAAAGCGTTATTTAAATTGTGTTTATCTATTTGCTTTTTTTACTAAATTTTAGTAAAGAAAGCAAAAGGATAAACACAGTTTAACTTACACTCTGTTTGTAATTTCGAAGGTTGTTAAATTTATTTTAAATTTTCTGTATAAAGAATTTATTTTTAATTTTTTTATATGACAAACTAAAGGGTTAGTTGAACCATTGTCTTTATAATTAAGACTATATGACTTGTATATATTCTTGTATAATTTTCTATTTTAAATGTGTAGTAACTTACAATTTAAATATAAATCAGTTGTAAAATTAAAAATGTTAACATTTCTTTTGATGGGTATCATTATTTAGGTTAGTTGCAGCTATGTTTACATAGAGCTAGTTTATATGCTTTTATAATTTGCAATTTTAGACACGTGGCATGCAATATCACATTGCAAGTTTCATCAGTTGTAAAATAAATCAGTTGTAAAATGTTTACTTGCATTTTTTAAAGGTGTTTATTTAGGCTAGTTACAGCCAAGTCTATGGATTGTTTTAATTTGTATATTTAAATTTGCATATGCTTTTATGATTTTCTATATTAGACACATGTCATGCTATATCACACTGTAAGTTGAAATTAGTTGTAAAACTAAAATGAAAATTAAAAATGAAACCTAAATTCCTTACTTTCAAAACTTTAGATTTCATGTTATTAAATGCGGTAGTGGTGTAGTGGTAGAGCGCTCGCTTCATAAACGAGTGGTTCCGAGTTTGATCCCCACCACGTCCCTGGTAGTACCGCGCTCAACTTGTTTCTCTGCGCAGACCCCTTGTTCGTCAAGGTTCATGTTTCGGAGTTATAGAGTTGAGAGAGGGTTATAGCTACAAAATAAGTAGCCTCCTCGTCTGTAGTGGCCTTTTCGGCCTTGAGGAAGTGAAGTATAAAAAAAAAAAAAAAAAAAAAAAAAAAAACTATTATTTTTTTTTACTAGCAATTTTTTAATGTTAGTTGCAACTAATTTTATATATTGCATGTTTATATTTGAATCAAACTCGCTACATTAGACATGTGGTATTTAGATATAAGGTATCAAATTTAAATTCTAATATTAATACTAATAACGTGTTTATTATTATTAAATAAAAAGGTAAGAGCCTTTTTTTTTTTGTAAGGCATTTAATTTTTGTTTAACACATTGAAATGTAGAACTAATAAAATAACATAACTTTTATTAGCAATTTAGAAATAAAGAACTAGTAACAAATGTTTCTTACAGGGTTATTAGTAAAAATTTATTTCCATTTTGTATTATGGTATATCATTTATATTCAATGTGTTCTTTATTATGTTTTAAGGTTTATTTATCTTTAAATAGTTGATAAAAGGTTGCTGGAATAGAAATGTGCACACACATGAATTTACAACAGAATTAAAAATTGAAACCTAGTATAGTAACAATTGTATACAATTGTGTTTTTTATATAAATGTTTTTTGACATTGAATATAATAACTGTATTAATAAAATATATATTAAGAAACTTTTTAAATTTTATTGAAGTTTTTTAATTTTTATTGTAATTGAAAACTTTTATATTGAATTAAATTATTATTTTACTAAAGCAGCAAAAGCCTAACGTAACAATTCCTTTATTCTAACAAATTGTTTGTTACGCAAACGGAATAAATATGTAATTTCAACAGACTAATATCAACAAACTTCAAACTGTTAAAATTTTAATCTGTTAACACAACAGAAAACCCGTTGGTGCAATAGCGACAGATCTAGTTCGTTGTATATAATGGATTTTTTCTTAGAGTGTATGTGTATATATATATATATATATATATATATATATATATATATATATATATATATATATATATATATATATATATGTTTATATATATACATATATATATATATATATATATATATATATATATATATATATATATATATATATATATATATATACATATATATATGTTTATATGTATATTAGTGATGTACCGATTAATTGGCATTGGCTTAATCAGTTAAACGGTTCTTTTATATTTTAAATAAAATGATTAAAATAAAAACGGCAAATTAAACATTTTAATTCAATTTTAAATGAAATGATTAAAATAAAAAAAGCAAAACAAACGCTTCATTTAAACTTTAAAATAAATAAATTAAAAAGGTAAAACAATGGTTTTATTTCAATTCTAAATAAAATTATTAAAATAAAAACAACAAAACGAACCTTTAAAAAACATGTGTGTATACATATGTTGTATTCAACAGTTTTTATCTAAGTACTTAATTAAAGGACTAGCTGAGGTATTTACAGTTTTAAACAGATTACTTGTATGCAAGGCTTGCTAATATTAGTTTGATATTCTCTAACTTAGTAAAATAGTTAAACTTTTCTATAAATTAGTATTGAAATTTTTGTTTGTTTACAACAACAACAACCAGCTATTTATTTTCTGTAAATCATTTTTACAATAAATGACTTACAGAAAATAAATACCATAAACACATAGATTAAAGCAGATATAACATACATTAAAAATAAACATGTAGAAATCATGATTTCCAGGTTATAGTAAAAAAAAAAAAAGAAACGAACAAAAAGTACTGATGATAATTGTAGAAATAACAAAAAGAAAATTAAAACTATTTGATTCCTCATTCATTTATGAATGTGGAATTTAATAGTTCAGAAAGAAGTTTGAAAATTCATAGTTAAAATCTATAAGAATGTTTGTGGGAATGCTGTTTTTGGATTCGACTTAGATATAAGAAATGAAATTTCAGGAATATTTGTTGCAGATAATAATAAACTGTAAATGTAAATTTGGATATTTAAGATACTTTTGATAGTTAATGTAAGACAAATGAAAATTGGATTTGAGTTTATGAGCAACATTTTTAAAAAAAGTGTTGAATGATTCAGAGATTAGTTGGGTCAGTTATATAAGTTTCATTTTCTTGCAAACAGTTGTGGAATGATTTATTAAAAATTTTTGACATTAATTAGAATGTTAATGCGTTTCCAAAGTTTGTAAAGATTTCCATATTTTTTTTAATGGATTTTTTTATTAAGGTTAATTAATGTAATTATCATATATTTAAATCTCTAAAAAATACTTTTAAACTTGTTTATATTCATAAGATCTTTAGATCTTAACATTTTTATTTGGAAAAGATTGTGCACTTGATTTGATTTTTATAATTTCTTTTGTAATCTGTAATTGTAACCTAAGGCTGGATAGTTCAGTTGGGTAGAGCATCAAACGAAAAGTTAAAACCCTGACTGTTGTACAATAAAAGTTTAAATCTCACCACCGCCAACTCATCGCTTGAGTAGTACTTTGATATGCAAAAACGTTGGTCAATAACGAACGCTACTTTGGATTAGTCTTAATGACTATTTGTGGCTATTACTATGTTAAGCCAATATCTCTTATATCTTTGGATATAAGAGCATTGTATAGAAAAATACAGCATGAAAATTCAAATAAATAAATGAACAAAAATCTATGGTTTGAATCGACGTTTGAAGTTTTTGATACTTGTTTTTTTAAGTAGGGCATAGCGATCTCAAATCAATGTTGTTTCAGTAATAAATTTGGAAACATGAGTTAGTACCATTGGACTTTATAACATCATCCCAGTCAACTTTTAATAAATCAGATTTAAAGAACTTTTGTATTAAAGTTTTTAAAACTCCTGCTATATAAATTGTGTTGGCGAGGTATAAATAATTTATTGAAATTGGGACAAATACAAAATTGAGGTAAGTGATCAGAAACAGAAGTTGCCAAATTTCCTGAAATAATTTCATTAGTTGTTAAATTAGAAAAAATATTTTTAATAATTGTAGCAAAGTGATCAGTAATTCTAGTCAGCAAATTATAAAAGGACGAATATTATAAAAAGATAATAAGTTTAAAAAATCAGACGTCAAAATGTCATTATTTGATTGTATCAGATTAATATTATAATCACCACGTATGAAAACAGGCTTATTTTTAGCAGATATTTTTTGAAGTAGGACATGATATTATTAAAAATATTGATATCCATGGAAGGGTGTCAAAAAAAGCAACCAACAATATTAGACTTTTTAGTCAAAGTTAAGCGTACATAATTTGCTTATATCGTAATATTTACTAACTATGTCTAATGAAGAAATGTCATCATCGGAATCTAAAACACGAGAAAATATTGAACATAATTATTAATTTAATTAGAGACTTTATTTAAACAAAAAGATGGGAAAAGGTTAGTAGAAAGAGGTAAATCATCAGTTTTAAAAACTTTATCAGAAGAAAATAACAATTTAAATTCATTATCTGGTACATCTGTCAATGGAAAGACACTTTTATATGTATCATTGTAGTAAACTGTACATATAATTATTAAACCTGTCACATTTTGTATGAGTCCAAAGCAAACAAATATTACATAGAATAATAAATAGAATACACAGCATATAGTTGGAATATAAGTTAGTATTGCAAATAAAAAAATAAAAAAAACATTACTTATACCTGCCACATATAGTACATGATATAAGAAAGCTCTGACAATCTTCCATTTATGGCCTTGTTTCCCAAAACTTCGCAACACATAGAATCTCCACATAACTTTAGAAATATAGCAACATTTTCTATATCCCACTCAGTAGAAATCACTAAAATAAAACTAGATTAAAATAAATGTAAAAAAAAAAAAAAAAATACTTTAAAAAATTTAAAGAATATTGTATTTTAATTTATAGTTTTACTATTTGTTAAATATTTTTTTATAACACAATCTAATCAATGAATCAGATATTTCAAAAAACATTTACCAGTGATTTCATCAAAAAGACTGATGATATCATCAGAACTCCAAAGTCCTCGAACATCTGACTGAAAAATTTGAAATGCATTTGAAAGTTCCATTAAATCTTGAGAAATTGAAGTAGAAGTCATTGCCATTTGAGCCCATAATATATTTTCTATAAAAAGAATAACAAAGTAAAAAGTTTCTCCTGACATTTCTACTTTTGCTTAATCAAAATAACAATCAAATAACATGTTATCAAAATCTAATAAACTTTATAATTCACAAATGGAACACTTCTCATTAAAATTGCTCCTTTTAAAATTGCTCATAGAGGTAGGCATCAGGTCGGCAAAAATTATTTGATACAAAGGTCTGACCATAAAACAAAGAAACAAGGTCGGCAATTTTTTGCCGACCTCAAACACTTTCAGGTCGGCAGTTAGGTCGGCATTACCGAATGCTGACCCTAATTCCGAGGGTTATTTGATTTAAGTGATACTTGTCAAAAGGGAGATTTATATGCAATTAAATTTTTATTCTAGTTAATAAGCTTTTGGATATATGAAAGATGGCTATTAAGTTTAATCAATTGTCATATTTTCGAAACAATTTTTCACGCATATGCAAAGTGCACGCAAATTATTGATTTTTAATATGTAATGATGTATAATGCAATGTAAACTGTTGTTCAACAATGCAAAACTTTTTTTTTTAAATTTAGTTTGTTAAAATTATTTACTCATAAAATATATGTAAAACTTGAAGAAATTAAAATAAAAGGGACTAAAGAAATAAATCGCAAAATGACAACTCATTAATATTTATATATTAATTTTTATATTTGTATAAATGGATTCAAAAATTGCTAGAATTTTTTAATTTATGGCCTTCCAAATGTCTAATACCAATCGCGTCAATCCGATTTTTGAAATGTTTTTGGGGCAAAAAGTCTTCAATTAACTGGCCATCAAGCTTTATACGCATAATATCTTCTAATTTAATGAAGTTCACAAAATATTTTTTTGTAAGTTCATACAAGTAAAACTGCGTTCGCAACTTGCCTTTGAAGCGCTGAAAGTTAGCATAATCTCTAACGCAACATTTATACTTGCCAATTCAGGTTCATTTTCCAACAAGATATCTTTATAAATGCTTAAAAGTGAATTTGTCTTTGGTTTATAGACTTTCTCCCTGAATAAAGGCCACTGCATTACACATAAGTTAGAAGTTTCTCTGCTTATCATATTATTGCTCTTATAAAAATTGCAAACACTTTTTATTTCATAAAACCCCCATTTTTTTATCTCTGTTACGGATTTTGATCAGTTTCGACAATCAAAGATTGTGGCTAAAGATTTTAATGACTCTAGATTGAAATCAGGGCGGAATTGCCTGCCTATATGTATTCTTTTGCTCCGTCAACAATTTTAATAAAATATTTTTTATTAAATATAATAATGTTGTTAGTGATTTACCAATATCTTGAATAAAATGTAAATAAAATAAAAATTGTGGGTCTTTTATGAAACACAAATATCCTTTAGCTTTCTATGCAGTTTCGTCTTTTTCGTTTGTCGTGCTTTAGAAATCATAAATAATAACTTTATAGTCAGATTCAAGCAACCTTAACGCCCTTTACCGGCTAGTTAACCAACGAATATTTTTCAATCTCCCAAGCTGTTTAAACTCTTCATCTAAAAAAGAAGCTATATCTTTCAGTTCCTTTCTTCACTGCAATGAATAATAGTAAAAACTATTGAGTCTAACACAGAAAGTTCTAACCTCTGTGCCACACAGTGGGTATATATTATACTCGGGCTTTTATTTCGCATTTTAGTTTGAACACCAGGTTTATTGCCAGACATTACAGATGCACCATCAAAGTTAACATTTACAGTTTTTGCATAGATATTGTTTAAATACAAATCTTGATTTATTTTGTCTGTTGTTAAACTTTTCAAAACAAATTCTATTGCATTTAATATACCATCGGCATCAACTGTCAGTGGTGAGTTAATACCAGCAAATATAGCTATTGGATTATCATTTTTAACAAACCTTAAAAAACTGTTCTTGTTCACTAAAACTCTTATCAGTGGAACCGTCAGATAAAAATGCAATAAAATGAGCATTTGACGTCTAAACTTAATTTGCGCTTTAAGTCAGAAGAAATCGAAGAAAAAAAGTTTTTGCAAGATTTGTCACTTAAGTAGTTCTTGCCCAACTTAATTCCATTTAGCTTTTGTAGCTTGCACAGCTGAGGAATTTTTTTAAATGCAAGATCATCTTTAACAACAAAATACAATATCTGAAAAAGTCTGTTCAATTCTTCTTGGTTATTTTCAGTAGTTCTAAAATTGGTGTCGATACAGTTTTCTCAAGACTTGAAGCTATATTGTAAAGGTTCTCTCGATATTTAGAAATACAAGCTTTATGCCTATCATCTTTATTGTGGCATAACAAATATGTTCTTTTCCAAAATTTACATCTTATTGTTACTGAATTGGTTGCATTGGTAATATTTGGATACTTTTGGAAAACCCAGCAAGAGAAACACTCATTTGATTTGTCAATATGAATCCAGCTGAGTTGTTGCCTGTATTTACGGTGTTCCAAAACATAAATTCAATATCTTTTGGCCATATATCCAATTTTCCCAAAGTCATAGCACAATCCAAGTCATTGCACTTTTTTTTCGCATGTTTAGTTTCTGTCTCTTCTTCTCCTTTACGTTTAATGCTACGCTCCTCTGTACCATCTTTCTTTAACATCGAAAAGATGCTTAGTTGTTTTGACATTTTTTTAAAAACTTTAAAAATAATAGTAAATTAAGTATTTAATAATAAGTTAATAAAAATATCATTTTATTGGTGTTGTTAAACGCACAATAAAAAAATTAAAATTATAATAAACATAATATTAATAACTTTATATATTCTATTAGATAATGTATTTTTTAGCAAAACTTGAAGATTATTTTTTTAAACTTTTGTTTAAGTTTTTTTAAACTACAAACTAACATTACTTTACTTTAAGGAAAAGGAAAATAAGATATTTTTTAATAACAAGTTTTGATAATAACATCTTAATTCCGAAATACTATTTTTTTTTTCAGATTTAGTAAAAAATAGTAAAAATACATCAGGCTTCAGGGTACATTTATTAGACTTTTTATAACTTTCCAAGTTTCACAAAGATTTTTTACATTTTCTGAAAAGAATTTTTTGAAATGTATTTTTTTACTCAGTTTTATTAGATTAATTATGGTATATTTATTTTGTTTAAAGATAGTTTTTAGTTTAATTATATTTGTTGGATCTTTTATCCTTAACATTTTCCCTTGAATAAGATTTCGAATTTGAATTGATTCTATTATTCCTTTAGTAATCTATGGTTTGCATTGATGCTTGTAGCTCTTAATACTAATTTTTTTGAGTGGCACATTTAACAGCAATGTTGTTTCAGAAATAAATGCTCCAAAACCAGGCTTGGTCGGGAAGCGGGTGCAATCGCACTCGATAACTGACTACGGAAATAATATTTAGTTGCAAAAAACCAACCAGATTTTTTAGTTGTTTTGAGAACATTCAAGTTTATGTATGTTTCCTTGTTTGTCTGCAAAATAATAAGTTCATTTTATTGTAAATTTTAAAATATTTTGTTTTACGGGCTTACATGGAAACATACATAAACTTAAATGTTTTAAAACATCTTAGTGCATAAAAATAAAAAAGTAATATTTGCGAAAACAAAAATCCACGAACAACTAATTCTATTAGTTTAAAAAATACTAACCGAAATTTCTAGAATATTCAAAAAATACTAACCGAATGTCCTGAGTATTCTGTTGAAATATTTAAAAAAATTGTATTATTTGAACTTTGTTACGTTTGCGTTGAGATTTCTATCAAACAAACTATTATTACGTTTGCGTTGAGATATACTATCAAACAAACTATTATTTTAATTCTTGAAACCACATCTACAAAACTATAAATATTTTAAACTAACATTTGTTTACAATAATAAATGTTTTAAATTTATATTTATTAACTTGTCAACGTTTTGTAAATATATTATAGATTTTATTAGTATATTCTAATTTTTTATATATAAGGGATGTATTTTTTATGTATGTAATGTATTTTTATATATGTAATATATTGAAATTATAAAGCCCACTCACTAAACATCATCAGCGGTATTGTGAAACAGTTCCGCTTCCTCCTCACATAGTAATTTAACGTTTTTAGTTAATTTCTATCTAGCTAATTGAATTTCTACAGTAACTCAATGATTTAATTATTTTATTTGTTTATCTTACTAAGAAGAATTGTTTTAAATGTGTTAAACTTTTTAAACTACGCAAAGCATAAAACAGTTATTAAAAAAACTTTTTTTATTTATAAATAAATCATCGTTAGTTTTATTGGTTGAATCTTGTTGGACTTTTCAGGGCCGGGGGCTGCATTACTTTGGCGGCCTTTTTTATGTGCCACAGCATAAAAATGACAAAAAAAAAAAAGAACCGAATAGTCCTCTTGACTATTTCCCCTAAAATTGTGAGTCCCAGGGCTAGAGCCCTACTACCCCCACTCCACCTCCTTAATCCAGCACTGGAAATAAGACATAAGTATATAAAAAAAAATTATATATACTCTTTGATAAATTGAAGAACATTTGTTTCTTTATAGTTGTTACTGTATATAAAAAATGTCGCTTATTTTTATAAAAAAAATTATAAAAGAGCGACGTTTCAAAAATAACTGCTTTAATAAATTTATTTTGCTTAAAGTTTTTTCGCGTTAAAAGCTATTTTTCTTTTTTTAACTGTCTCTCATCAGTCCAGTTAATCTTGCTGCGCTTTTTTTTTTTTTTTTTTAAATGTACTCCAAATGACTAAAAAATCTGGCCAGTTTTTTGCAACTAAATGTTATTTACGTGGTCAGAGTGCGATCACACCCGCTTCCCAACTAAGCCTGCAAAACTAGAGTTAACTTTGTTTTTAATGGTAATGTCATTCCAATCAACTTTTAATAATTCAGATTAAAATGATTTTTTATTATAACTTTCAAAGTCCCAGAAATAGAAGTTGTTAGATTTCTTGATCAGAAATAGAAGTTGTTAGATTTCTTGAAAGAATTTTATTAGTGGTTACATTTGAAAAGATATTGTCAATGGTTGTAGCAGAATGATCAGTAACTCTCGCTGGTAGCATAATAAATGGGTGAATATTATAAGAAGCAAGTAAGTTTAAAAACTCAGAAGTTGCAAAGTCAGAGTTTAACTGGATCAGATCCATGTTAAAATTGCCAAGTAGAAAGACAGGTTTATTATTGAAGTCGTTTACATCCATGCCGGGGTATCTATATATGCAACCAACAATGACATTTGATTTTTTGGGAAAAATTATTTCAACATTAATTTCAAAATTAATCATTTAATTAAGCTGTTTTTTGTACCAGATTTGACGATTATTAAAATGTGTCATAATTTTTAGCAAACAGAAACCTAGTTGAAAAAATTTTAATTTTGTTCTAATTATTTCAATCATTAACCAATATATATATATATATATATATATATATATATATATATATATATATATATATATATATATATATATATATATATATATATATATATATATATATATATATATATATATATATATATATATATATATATATATATATATATATATATATATATATATATATATATATATATATATATATATATATATATATATATATATATTAAAATACACACACAAACAAACACAGACAAAATTTTAGGACATAATATATTATAAATGAAAACAGAAATAACATAAAAAAAATAAATAAAAGTAAAAATAATATATTAATAACTAAATTAAAGATAAAAATAATATATTTAACAATAATATACATATGTAATAATGTATAATTGTAATAAATTAAAACAATCAATAAATAAGATACAACAAAATCAAGTTAAATAAAAATTATATTTAATCAAACTCTTCTTTTTCTTTTTTAATAGATAATTTTTACTTCACTTTTTTTACTTCTTTTTTTTTGTGATTTTTATTGATTATTTTGAATTGTTTAAATCTTTTTCGAATTCAAAATTCTTCTGTTAACTAGTAAACGTTTATTCTTTATTTTTGGTTTCTTTATTGAAAGTTGTATTTAAATTGAGTAGAAATTTATATGTACTTTTTCTTTTCTTTTTTTTTTAATTTATTTTTATTTATTTTCTATTTGTTCATAAAATTATTTATTTTACTTTATTTAGTTTAGATTAAATTAAATATCTTCTCTTTTTTTTTATATTTAAGTTTCTTTTACTGTTCTGTTAGAAAAAAAACATCTGCCATCCCTGAAGATGTTACAAAGTAAAATTTTGTATAAATAGTTTTTATTAGCTAAAGAGGTCTGTCAATTTTTGATCTATTTTTTGCATGAAAAATCTACCAAAAATCTATTATTCAAATAGTGTTTTTCAATTTTAACTAAAAAGTTTACCTCCATCTGGTTCAGTTGGACCAAATAAGATAAACATGAGTCTTGCTTGGAAATAAATAGGATACGGTTTTAATATTTGTGCTAGCCAAAATGACTTGTCGGCCAAAGTTGATTTATTAAGAAATATCTCCTTGCAAAAGACTCGAACATATCTGAAATGATAAAATTTCATTAATAAATATCTCTGTGGAAAAAAAATATATATATATTATTATTATTGAGATAATTTCTACACTGATATATAAATTTGATGTATAGTATATCTATATTGAGAATCTGTACAGACCAGTAATCAATACTCAACAGATGCAAAAAAAAAGTGTAAACATTTTAAAAAATTTTAACTTTACTACCTTTCATAACCAGATAAACTAGCTGGTTTTGATTTCATAACATGTCCAATTCTTTCCTCAAGTAGAGATGCCCCTTGAATCATAAAATAAAATATTCCGAAAATCATATGATCCAAAAATCAAATGAACGAAATCTTTTTTATAAAAAAAAAACCTTTTATAGCTTGAAATGCTTTTACTTTTTCATCATCTTCCCAACCAGCAATAAAAGCATGCAAAAATATGCCATAACAGCTATAGGCAAGGTCACTCCCTAGTTCAGTGCATATTTTAACATGCGAATCACGCAGCTGAATAATCAAAAATAGTTTAACACAATTTAATATGAAAAAGATGATTTGCTCACACACATACAACAAAAGCAAACAATTTTTTTATTTAACAAATGATTATTTATTTAAATTTTATTAAACTATTTTTCAAAATGCAACTCTTTTTAAAATGACTGATCAAGATATACCTGATCAAGAATTTTTCCAACTTGAGAAAGTCTCTCTCTTGTAGAAAACAAACAAGTAGATCTTTTCAGCATAATACCTAAATTGGAAAAAAAAAAAAAAAAGTAAAAACAGTAAAACTAAAAGAATTATAAAACTAAGCAATTATAGTTAAAAAAAAGTTTAACCATAATTAGTAAATACTAGGTATAAGAATTTCTATAACCCAAATTTGGCAAATTTTGTAAAAAAAAAAAAAAAAGAATTTCAATTAATTTTAAAATACTGTTAGAGATCAAATTTAAAATATATTTTCTTTTTTCACTCAAAGTATTTTAAAATTTTCATTTTTTGGCAAGTTTTAATATTATTAGTGAGAAAGAAGTAAACAAACATTAAAAATTAATCTGCATTACTTTAATGCAAACGAATGCTTTTTCAAGATAAAATTGTGTTTAACCCTTAATATTTAAAACAATTTACAATGATTATGGTTATTACACACATATTATCAAAAAAGCTTTTAGACAAAGTTTTCATTAAAAATAAACTTGATTTGCATTTAAAAGTTTAAAAGGTAGAGACATTTAGATATTAGGTTTAAAATCTTTGTCACTATAATGACAGAAGTTTCCAGGAGTCATTAATATTTAATAATTTTGTAAATTCTTAAGTTGCAAAACAATAAAAGTGCAAGGACCAATAATAATGGTCCTTAATGTAGACATATAACTATATGAATTATAACAATGTAAAAATTATTGCATACGAAAAAATTATTATAAATATAATAATGTAAAAATATTATGTATTAATTTTTACAACTTGAATTATAACATTGCAACAATATTTAAATAGCTTATATTAAATAATATGAAATTAATTTTATAACAAATTTTAGAAAATAGGTAATTTAATATTAGACTTCTTAAATCAGTTATAACAACAGGAATTCTACCTAAAATAAATTATGGTCATATTTGTTAATTCTTTTAATTAAGCTGTTTTTGTACCAGATTTGGCGATTATTAAAATG